ATTTAGATAAATATCACATATTTTATTTCAACCAATTTCATGTTAATAGTCCTGTTTAATATACCCATAGTGGTGAAGGGTATCATATAGTCGGCCCCGTCCGACTTTACTACTTTCCTTACTGGTTTAACTTGGGTTTTGGTAAAAAATCGGCGATTTTCCAAAAATATTTTTTCAAAGGTCCACCATTTTGTTAATTTTAGAGCGAAGTCAATAATCCTAGTTCATACGAGAGCCAGACATGTACTCTTGCTAACACCGTTGGAATTTTCGGATTCCGATGTTCCAGTGAGGAGTTATCATACCCGCCATCAAAAATAAAGGCTTTTCTTTAATTACAAAAAACAACAACAAAACAACAAAATTTGTTTGTAAATTATTTTTCTTCTATTTTAAATCTTCAATTATATATGTGTAAAGTTACAAATCTTGACAAACATTGGTTCCCTTAAGTGATCGGAATGACCGTTAACCTTTTAGAGAAATTCGAATGTCAAGAGGTCTATATCAGCGATCTAAATACAGTGAACTCTCGATAATATGAACTAATTAATATAGCGGTAGTTCATATTTTCGATTCGACCAGCTTATTTACAGTATGGGTATTTACCCATCTGTTTAAAGTATAGTAAAACTATACTTTATTAATTGAATTGATAAAAGAAACACGAAAATAGGGTGTAAGATGTTGTATTACCTATTCAATATAGAAAATACCCAAATAAATACCAACAAATTGGTATTTACCACCCCCCCTCCCCCCCTGGCTATTTACCCGATAAAAACCATCTGAACACATAAAAGGGATTGAAAATTTTAGGTACTTTCACGACCCTAGGTTGATTTTCTAACCAAGATGGCAGCAATTCGGCATTTTGGCATATACATCCATCCTCTTCGCTACACGGTTCTTGGTAGGTATAAACCTCCTCGCTGCCATTTTGTATTAAAGATTCTTAAACGATTATATATATATATATATATATATATTTACATATATATATATTTACCTAATTGACAACATATATTGTACGATGATGCATGCTTCGACATAGTCACCAATTTTAGACATTTTGAATACCCTTCTCATGGAGGAGAGTATAAATAAAAATTCGTTTCGATCGAACTTTTTATTATACAAAGACATTCAGTGAACATAAACATTAGATTAAGGTACATATTATTATAATTATTAATGGCCCCTTTAAAATTCTGATAACATTGCAATATCACAGGTTACCTATTTTGGAGTTATATTTGCATATATAATTAAATGTTCAAACAAACAAAAAAAGATCGTGTGACTCATAGCTCTGCAAATGATAACAATGTTCCTATTTTTTGCTCACTTTTCCCCTAAACTAAATTAAATAAAATAACCAAAGACATTTGTGCAAATTTTAGTTGAAATTATTGTTTTTTGCCCTCGATTTTTGTTTGTTTGTTTATTTAACAAATATTTATTTAAATGTCACAGTCACACACCTCCGACGTCTTGAGACTTAGAAAGAAAAAAAAAACACCTCCTAGCACATTCCACACCTAAAATTTCAGCATTGTATCGCAGAACTTTACACCTTTTCTTTTGAATGTCGACAAAGTATCAGAGATGTCAAACATTTTGACATTGCGGTGGTGCTGGTGGTCCACCTTTAGTCAGCTGTCACATTTTGTAGACTCTTTGATTAAAGGTAAGACACCTAGGTAATTCTTATCTAAATATTTACCTTTTTTCAACACTCATCATCATCAGAACGCCAGAGCATTTATAGCACCGCTGTGTTGCCGTGTGCGTAGAACAAATTAAAACAAATAACAAACCGGTAAAATGTTTTTTTTATTTGTTGTTGTTGTTGTAATATTGTATTTTTTATCTTTCTAGGAATAATAATAACACAAAAAAGGCAAACAGTGAAGTAGAAAAGTATGATTCAAAGAAGGTCCAATTATTCCTTGTTTATTATTATTGTCTAATTAAAATCTGGATCAAATTTTGGGCATTAAATTCGTTTGATTTTGGGACACTGGGTGGGTGTTACCACAAGAAGCGGACTTTGTACAAAGTTTCGCGGAAATTGGATATTCGGTTCGCTAACTAGGTGTGTGTGAGGTACCACAAGCAGTGCACCGATATCCTCCATTTTCGAACTTGATCCAATTTTGAAATAAATATTACAATGTGCAAAGTTTAAATATAATCCGTAGCTCCCTTTGAGAATTAATTATTTTTTCATATCAAATTTCTGACAAATACTTTTATTAGCAACTGTAACATTTTTTTTTTCATTTAACAAATTTCATTATAATTTCTAAAAGTTGTTGAGGGGAGGGGGTAAAATAGGGAGAACAAAAAATAGGTTCATCCACATGAATTTCATTATCAGCCGTTTGGAGGAGAGCAGCACAACCTGTTTGGTAGTAGGTTTGTTACCATTTTTTCAACGTTGTTGTTATTGCTGTGAACTCGTATTGTTGCTTTCTTTCTTTATTACTATGACTTCATTCGGAGCGATAACGTAAAAAAGAAAACAAAAAAAAATCGTTGCTATAAAATGTTTACATTATGCATCATCAGCTTTTAAAAATAACAACCGCGTGCAAGCAAAAAAAAGTTCTGCATGGTTTTGCGGTCAACCAGAAAGAGTTTATCGACTGTATTTATTGGTGATTGAAATTTATTACAAAAAAAATAAATTATTTAATGATTAATAATATGAATATGAGAAAATTTAATGCTCAAATGGATGGCTATTTTGGATATTTAAAAATCCAAAATAAAGTGTTTAAAAAATATACAATTTCTATTAATTCGAAATATTTTTTTAATTTTTTAATTTACATAGCATGAAAAATGAAAAAGATTACTTGAAATTCTGCATTTGCTAATGTATTAGAAAATGAATTTAAAAAAATCCCATTTAATAATTTCGGAAAAAAATTTTTATAAAAAATTCATATCACCATAAATGTTTAGAAAATTATTCTTAAAAAAAACTTTACTTCTCAAATATTTATTATAAAAAAAAAATTCCTATATTTATAAATCAACTATCAGGCGAATGGAATGTCCAATTTAAACCAAACCTTGCACAACCTATTATCTATGCCGAGCCTATATCAAGTTCGAAGATGGGTCATATTGATCCTCTCCTTCTGGTACCATGCCCACAAAGGATTAAATTTTCCTATATTAACCGAATGGAATACTAGATTTGAACCAAGCCTTGCACAACCTGGGACCCCTTAGTCTACTTCTTCTGGTTCCCCCCCAAAAAGCGAATTCAATAACCTAGTTGATCTAGATTAAAACAGAAACCTTTTGAAATATTGCTTATATAAAACGAATAACTTCGAAGACCTCCTGTCGGATCACTCACGTCGAATTTTTGAATTTCGGAATTTAAGAGGCTCGTATATTGAAAAGTGTGCAATGTCATATATTTTCATGATCAGGTAAACTTTGCCTACATGTGGTAAAAATGATAGGAAAATACGAGATGAGCCTCTAAACTCAAATAAAACCAGTAAGGAAAGTTCAAAAGCCTTAGCTACTGAGCTACGAAAGACAGCTGGAAGGGAACCTGATCTAAGGTTAGCGCTGAAAATGCTTCATAGTAACGGCGATCAAAATAAGTTCACATTTTTTAAACATATAAGGTTTTTATTAAGAAGAAAAATATTTACATATTTCGTTTCAGGCGGAACCGACCCTTCACCACTGTTGGTAAATACAAGGAGGACTCATATAAACAATATCCTGTAGACACGATGACATTAAATGTTTGAACTACATAGATATTTGAACTAAACAATCTATGAAAAACAGGATGTCAATCGGGCAGATTTGGGTTCTTTGCTGTACCATTTGTGTGAAATCGAGCAAAATTATGTATAGGAGCTGTATATAAATCTGGACAGTGTTCTGTCCAAAATTTATCTCGATCGGAGGAAAAGGCTATTATTTGGTGAACAAATGGCACTCAGACAAAAATCGATACTTAACACACATTATTCTAGGCATAATTCAGAACGTCATGCCAAATTCCGTGCAAATCGAAAGATATATAGGGACGTTGGTGCACCATTTACATTAAATCGGACGAAAATATATATGGGGGCTATATCTAACTCGAAACCTATTTTTCCCAATTTCAAACACATCATTCCAGACAAATAGTACACCTGTGTCAAATTTCATCCAAATCGGATATAAATGTGACTTTGCAATTTACATAAAATATTAATGGGATCAATATGTAAATCTGACATGCATATATCCAATTTCAAAGTGATTCTATGCATATTCAAATAGATGAGCTGTGTCAAATTTCATCCAATTCGGATCATAAATGTGACGTGCAATTTGTTCACAAAGACATAATACCCTGTACCACAGTGTGGTGAAGGGTATAAAAATTACATTCGAAATAAAATACATGTTTATAAAAGTAGTTTAATTATAGTTAAAACGAAATTTATGTTCATAGCTCTAATATTTTGAAATCTGCCAAATAGTTATTTTTTCTTTCAAGCACTGCCATCCCTGTCTGTCGTACGTTGTGTTGTTGTCATGAATGAATGAATCATTTGAGTCAGGGAAAATACCATCCATACCCATCTCATCGTGCGAATGGGCAGTCTAGCTGCACACATACGTACGTACATACATACATCTATATAAGAAAGAAATATAGACAATCAAATGGCATATACCGTCTGTCTTGTGTGTATGAATGCCTTCCTATATTCCAAGTACATACAACAAAGTCATTATCAAAACATCACGAAATTAAAGTAGTAAAACAATAACAACAACAACAAGAACGAAAAACAACAATGGCTTGTAAGTGAAACTGGAAAATGCATAGCAGATACTTACACACAAACACCCATATATTCATGAGAAATGCATTATGTATATATGTTTGTTTGTATGTAACTTGGACATCAATGAAAACAAAGAAAAATTAATTTACAGATGGAAATGCTGTTTGACCTACCCGTTCAAAAATATCTCTGACTCTGCGACGATCCTCGGGTTCTTGTGGTGGCATTTCGCGTAAGGGAATCTCTTCCAGATCCACTGTGTCCTGGCGTGTTGGCGGTGGCCGACTGTGGCGTAATTGGGGATACAGGCCATTCTCCACATCTTGTTGTTGACGTTGGGTGGCCATTATTGCTGCTGTTGTTGTTGTCGCTGTTTTGATGACCTTACAAATTCTCACAACAAAATTTAATTTTCACAATTTAGCCGGTTCAAATGAAGTTACATTCATAGACAAAGCCACTTGTTGTAATACAACAAAAAAGAGTATTCAAAATATTCAAAAACACCTTTTTAATTGTTGCTCTTTTTGGGTTTGTTCAATACATTTTGTTTTTGTTGTAAGTATTTATTATATTTTTCAATGACAAGGTTTCTTTTGCTATTCGATTCGTTTGTTTCATTCACAGATAAGATAAATTATTAACGGTGTTGTTTTTTCACTTAGAATTGTAAATTCGCATTCCATAGTTTCTTTCACTAAAACGAAATCTATGCTTTGTTACGATTTTTGGTCGACGCGAACGATTCTTAAACACAATACTATCCCCGCCTTTGTCTAACTTTCAACTAACTTAACTACCAGCAGAGTTGTGTCAATTCCAAAGAACGATTCTGTGAAATGAACCCAATGGAACGATTTACAACTCATTCGTTTTACTAGTTCCATTAGTTCACATTGCTTAGTCGTGTTCATTTCGCCGGCTTGATTTGTTTTGATGTTTGGCTGCAGTGAACGAAAACAAACGAAATGATTTTTAATGTTTCGTACCCAAAAACACAAACTTTTTCAATGCTTGAATTACAACAACTAATAATATTAATAAACAACATTATTATTATAGAAAATAAATTGCCAACGCCTGAAATAGAATACTAGGGTTTGTCAAAGAATTTTTGATTGGAAAATAAATAAAAACATTAGGCAACGATCAGGAATGTTGTAATGAAAATTTTACCAACGAGTAAAACAATAAACCAAAGGCTTTGGTATAGGCACATCCTCCTGTAGATATATTGTATACCGCATAGCCAAGGTGAGGTCAGAGTAGTAATTAATCGGCTGAAGAATAATAAAGCAGCAGGTGCCGATTGATTTTATCTCTTTAAAAACTGGAGGCAGTTCCTCCTCCAGCTGGTCCACTTTCTAATTGAATAGATAGTATAAGACCATAAACCATATGCGCGAGATAATCGAGATTTTCTTGTATTTTTCGTTAGTTCGATAACAGAACACGTGGCAAGTTATGCGAAAGCTTAAAACAGCGCCATTATGTACTTTCTTTTAAGCCCGTAGGCGTGATTAACTTTTTAAATGCGTCTTTCTTGTGAGCCGTCCAAAGACGAACTGAAGATCGGTGGTTAGATGCTGGTCAGGAGCATGCACCAGTTGATTAGTAGAATTGGGCTAGATGATTGCATGTCCTATTATTGCAACCTCAGCATAGGAAATAAAATTTTGATACTAATTCATCCCACAAATTTTAAGTTTCTTTCCTACGGATCTTTTGCAAAATGCATATTTCAAACGACTTAAATTGAAAATATTACACATACAGTCATGCATTTTTGTATGTGGATATGACATAACAATCCACAAGAAGAAAAAAATGGTAATTTGTAAGTTCCTTTAGCCTACCTTGTATTTACATTACTGAATCCACTTCATCTCAAACGTCAATTCCAAAGCGCATACGCATGGTACAATAATACAAGGTAGAGCAGCTTGAGGTGAATAACAAAAAATAAAATAAATATAAGCACCAAGTGTTTGTGTTTATTTAACATTTTTTCAACACAAAAGTAAAAACGCGAAAAATGAATGAAAGGTTGTGATTTCTTCCCAAAATCCAGTAGGGAATACCATCAAATGTTTGTTTCATCCATAACAAAGTAATTACTTACAGACGAACATGTTAAAAACATAATTTTCATTTCAATTAAATTCGAATATATTTCAATTTATTTAACATAGTATTGAAAACAATTCACACACATACACAAAATATGTATTTTGATTTGACGGAACAAGCCACATTGAGAAAAAATTGTAATCAGTTGGTAGTTGTGCCCTACCTTGTAATAATTATACCATACGTATACGTATCATTGTTTTAATGTCTACATGTTCGAATATGGTTTAATAGTACCGTTATCATTCAGTAAATATCATACAAGATCAGTATAATAGTACGTTTATATTTAATCGGATTTCGTTAACCCAGTGGGTTTCAATTGTCAATTCCTTTGCATATATGGCAAATAAATCCTCATAAAGTAGGTTAACACGGTAAAAAGTTCGAATATATATGCCGTTTTAAATTCACAAAACAATCAATTTGCTTGAGGACAATTTTGTTGTTTGTTTACAAAACATAACAAAACAGCTGATTAAATATCAGCTGGTGGTACAAGAAAATTCTTACTGAAAAAATTTTTCCTTGCTGAATTTGCAAATACTCAGTAAGACAACTGTCAAATCTGCTCTCTCTTTTACTGGACTTTTGGGTAAATGAACAACATTTTGAAATAATTTGTACAAATTATTGAGTAAACTACGAACCTATTGACATCAAACGTGAATGATATTTCACGTCATTTATCATCACCCCAAAACCGCTTAGTTAACAGTAATTTCCGTATTTATTTAATTTTATAGGTTACTTATATAAAAATGTCATTAAATTTTCCCAAAAATAAAAAAGAAATCAAAAATTTATTTTATCTCCTTAAATACCGCATCATTTGAACACCCCTATTAAAAAGTACGCCGACGGTAACTGTCACAATGGCCGACTATGACATTCACTTGGATATCTCTGCTACTACACTCGACAGAAGAAAATAATTCTCGGGTCTGTTTATTCATCAACAATTTAATTTGTTATGCAGAATTTAAACAAAAAAGAAATATAATTGACATTTGTTATGACTACAAAGTGGTATAAAATAACAACCACAATAATAAAATATAAACGTGAATCCAAGGGAAAAAACAAATCAATTGTCATTTGAAGTGGAAAAGGATTTGTGAAAGAAGAAAAGTAGAATTGTGTCAACTTGACTTGAGGCGAATGGGATTTGTGTATGACAGACAGAAAGACGAGAAATTGGCGGCGTTTTTTCTCAACTAAAATGTGGCTTTGGAATTTTTCCATTGGCAAAAATATGAAACGAGAATAATAAAAACACAAGGAAAAGTGTATTAAAAAATACAAAAAATACACATATTTATATTCACTGTGAATTGCTATTATGAATTTTGTGGCGTAGTTGCCACACTTTCGCGACACTTGTCATACAAAATTTTGTTATTGCGAAGTGTTGGTTTCACTGACTGACTGGCTGGTCGTCGTCGTATTTAATACTCTCGATACTTGAAAGTTTTTTTTTGCTCGTTCCGTTTTCTTCATCTATTAATCAATTGCAAATTTTGTGAATACTTCTTCTTGGCTGATTAATCAACAATCAATGATGTGTTGAAGTGTATCCTTAAATTAATGGAAATTATTGTGCAAAAAAAATATTCAATGGAAATTTTAAGTTGTCATTGAGGTCGTCAAAAACGAAAAGAATGAAAATTCCAGAGAGGCAGGAGAAGAAATAGCCCTTTGTTTTTGTGTATGAAAAATATAAATAAGAAGGAAAAATACGAAAAAGCAAGCAAGAAGTGGTGTTATTATTATTGCTATCGTTGCTGCTGTCGCTGGTGTTGTTGTTTTTATTGTGGTCGTCGGCGACGTAACTGCTGCTGGCAGTGCTCGTGGTGGTGGCGGTATAGTAAAGTGAGTGAGCAAGTTGAGTGTGCGTGCGTATTCTATTGCCTCAACTAAATTTCGTTTGTTTTTTTTTCTTGTATTTGTTGCAAACGGAAAACAGCAACAACAAATTAAAAAATATATATTGACAATAAATTGCAATTGTTGCCGAAAGAAATGCATTCTTCGTAAGAAAGTGTGTGTGAAAAAGAAATATTGAAAAGCGCTATTACAATAAAAAAAAATAAGAAAAAAGGGAAAAATAAAGTAGTAGATGTGTGTGAAAAGAAAGTGAAAAATAAAGAAGAAATCCACAAAAAAATTCAAATTCTCCTTCAATTGTCACTAAACAACTACTACAATAACAAATCAAATACTACCAACCACTCTCTTCGGCTATTGTGCTCTCTTTTGTTGTTGCAAGCAAGTACACACAAGTGGGAACAGTTAAAAGGGAATTATTTCATATTGTTTTTTCTGCAAACAGGAAATAAAAAACAAATTGATAATAATTAATGGTAAGTAGCAGAATTTTCATTTTTTTATTAAACAAATATACAGCAGCATCTTTTCTAAGTTGGGAGCAGCATTTCTGTTTCTCTCTTTCGGCAAATGTTGGTTTGTTGCTGAGAGACCTGCCTGCATTAACAAATGCAAAAGTGATCATTCACAATAACGTTTATTAATTTGTTTCTTTATGTTTGTCATCTGTGCCTAGAAATCAAAACAAGAAAATTTTTTGTCAAAACTTAATTGGCTACAAATTGCCGGCATAAACATGTTTGGTTTTTGTTTACATAATATAAGTGTGTGCAACTTCTGTGCAGTTAAGTGGTAACAAGTGATTTCGTGTATTTTATACATCTTGTGGTGAGTGTACTGTGCTATTGTGAATGATTTAACCCTAAATAAACGGGGTGGGGCAAAAATCAACCCCTTTTTGTGTCAATGAAGTGCATTTCATTTGTGAACAAAGGATTATGAATATTTATAATGAAGCTCACGATTTTTTTATGCATGGAAATGAAAATTGAGTAGTGAATCATTATTAAAATAATAAATCATTATTAATCATTATTAAAAAAAAAAAAAATAAAAACATTAAAATAATTATTCATGGTTTAAATTAAAAATAATTAAATATTGTAAACAAAAAAAAAAAAAAAAAATGATAATAATAATAATTTTAAATATTTAAAGAGGGGGAAGGTTTGATTTGGAGTTCATATTCAAATGCGGACCAAATATATATAAAAAAATATATAAGTACTGTTGAAACTGCAGATGTTGGATTAAAGCTGTGAGGTTATGGTATCCATTATCAAAAATTTACTTGAAAAAAATTATTATCTCAGAACTTGAATTCTCAAAT